CGAACTGCTTGCGGTAATTGGGAACGAGCTCCTTGTCCAACTTTTCAACGCACTGGAAGTACTGTGCCTAAAAGAAACAAGTCCATCAACTTCTCACATGCACGTGGGCTTTTTGCACAAGCAGGGAATAGCAGGCTTTTTGCACAGCTCCCATATTTAGCCTGTTTCAATGGCATCACGTCCTGCACTCACTGTGTAAGGGTGTCTCTCGTCCTGGAAGTAGATGAGCAGGTGGAGGACGCAGCGCAGGATGCAGATCCTCTCCTCGTAGTAGTAGTCAGCGAGCTGTGAATGTAAAGTGTCACCAATACCAACCTGGCACAGTGTCCAAGTCCCTGCCACCTCCCTCTCCCAACCACTGCCAAGGCCTTCACCACAGGAATACAGAGTTATTACAGATGGAATTTCAACTGAGCAGTTCTGAATTTGGGGAAAATAACCAAGACTTAAAAAACGTCACAGAACTCAATCAAGCATTGCCATAACGACAGGTCTATAATTACACTGTTAAATGAGCAAACTTGGAAATTGTTACCCCTATTACCCTCTGTCAGAAATGATCATCAATCTTGTCATGACATACAAATCTGCAAGCTTTGGAAAATATGGCAGTGTACATCTACCCAGCTCAATTCCCTAATATCAAGCCTAAAACTGCATTTCTGTAGCAATTACTAACCCTCTTCAAGTCTACATGCACATCCCTCAATTCAGAAGCACCTTCTAAATAAAAGTCATCCTTTATTTAAGGAATACTTAAATTATTTCAAGATTTTCCACAGAAATAAAGTAGGTTTGCTGCCAACAGATTTTTCCCCAGAAAATACAAATGGAAATTACTAACCTTCAGCATCAGAGCCTGACTCTGCCTTTCATCCTGAAGAACTGTCTGTAAAAAAAAAAATGACAAAAAAATAGCTACTGGAGAAATACCTACTGACAAAATGTGTGTTCACAAAATGACTAAAACAAATAAAAGACAATTTTTCTTTCAATTGGAAAGACAGATTCCAAAAGCACAAAGCCAAAACACTCATTTTTAACTATGTATTTATTTTTCAGCTCCACTCTCATTCACAAATCTGGAGCTTTCCTGTATTCCTGTGACAGAGAGAGGAGCTGAGTTCCTGCAGAGATCCAAGAAGGAAGAGATAAGCCTGGATGCAGCTCCAGAGAAGAAAAGCTACAAAGCCATTTCCCGATCAGAACTAGGATTCACATGTGACCATTTGCATCAAAAAACAACTGTTACTAAGGAAAGGTGTGGAGTCAATAGAACATAAATGGGAGCTATGGACCTTCAAGGAGTCTCTTGTTCCTCTGTAATCCTCTTGAAGATAAGATTGTAACAACTGCACACTCTGCTCTTCATCCAGACCCTGAACAAAAGAAAGATAAATGACCTGAAATTAATAAAAGGCAGCTGAATTCATTAAAGATTAAGATTCTCTCCAAATACTCAGGCAGCTCTTATCTTCAAAACAAATAATATACCAAAAGAATATTTTTGCACCAGGCAGATATTTTAATCAGCACTTCTTTTAAATCCAAATACCAGCTTTAATGTCACTGAGCTGCAGTTTAACTTCAGCTAAAGGAGCATCAGTCATTTAAATAAAAGTACCACCAGCCACTGACCTCTAAACTTCTGGCTTAAAGAAACAGAACCTTGCAGGTAAATTGAGAGGATTGTCAAACAAGGCAACTGATTTAAGGGACATCAGTTTTTTAGCTGAGCAGTTTTCCTGGAAGAATCCAGCTCAGACCCACAGCAGGTGGCTGCCACTGAACAGGACCAAGAAAACCACAGCATCTCAAAGTCACTCATCACTTTGGAAGCTTGACCTAGAGCCTCAACATGTGCTTCAACATCCTTTAGGTTACTTTGAACTGAAAGGACCTTAAGTTTCTCTCTACTCAACATCACAAAGGTTACTTCAGTGTCAGAATCCTGTAACAATGCATTCCAGGGATAGAAACTAATCCAAGAGCAGCTTCACTCACCAAAAACTTGCTGACTCTCAGACCCAACTCTTTTAGTGGAGCAGCAACATCTTTATCAGCTTTAATTTTTTCTGCTGAAGTGGTACTAAAGTGAAAAGAAATTTTAGTCATTAAAAAGGCAGCAATCTCAAGGAAATAATTAAATAGGCATAATTTCAAAGTTCTCCACTCTACCAGTTTAAACTGAACATTTGCTTTTTCCCCAGTGACCTTTCAATATTTCATACAATATTCTGTAACCTTTCTTTACTTGCTAGGAAACTCCACATTAGAGATTCACGTCTAAAATCAGGCAGTGACTGTACCTTGGTGGTTTGTAGTATGACAGTCCCTCTAACAGCCTCTGCCAGTGCTTGTTCAACTCTGCAGCAATCTGGGCCTAAAACAGAACCAAACACCACTGAACAGACTCCTCAAAGTGCATTACCAAATATTAGAGCTGTTAAACTTCAGCAAAGCAAAGAAATTCCAGCAGCACAAAGAGGCAGGAACAACACAAGGCAGTCTGTGGGTCAGAATAAATACGGATGCAGAACTGAACAGGGCACTGCCCATTCCTAGGGAGGTGGGGAAAAGGGAGGCAATGCAGTAGGTTTAGAAACATTTGGATTCCCAAATTCTGGGCAAATTCTTGAAAGCACAGGCTCCAGCCCTCAAAATAAGGCAGCAGTTGTACCACACATGAACACCCCAGGGCAATCCAGGCAGCAGCACTTGTGCCCACTCCAGAAAAGGAAGCACCTTTTCCATACACCCTTCCAGGCACTTCATGCAGCAGCTGCAAACAAGCAGTGGAAAAATAAACAAGTAGCAGAGGTATGGGAACAAAAATCACACTGAGAAAGAAGGAAAAGCAGCAGAAAATATTTTCACTAATATTCAAAGAGATGAACAAATTATATGTTTGGCCATGGAGCCCAGGAAGTGATGGCCAAACCTGCTCTGCAGGGAATGAACTTACTGGTTCTCTTAAAGCTGATCTGCCCAGCAGAATTGTCCATAATTCTCTGCTGCTCCTGCAAACACAAGGAAAAGGTGGAGAGTATTTTAATGATTAATGTTATTCCAGCCTTCCATTTAGCTTACACTTTTCAAACCTGCAATTAACTTGCAGCAAATGACACTACAGTGTGAGAAAAGTGATTTAAGGAACATTAGCTTTTAGCTAATGAGCTTCAGATGTCCTAGAAAAACCAAGGGAAAACCCAGAGAGGGTGACAACTGACACAGCAAGACCTGTGAATTCACATCAAAGCTTCACATTGATATCAGGCTACCAGCTCAATTTTGCTAACTGAACATTTCAGGCTCCTAAGAAAATGAAAGCATAAAGCAGTATTCTATTGCTACATTCAATGCTCTCCTTCAAACAAAGTTTTCCACCAGTTTCATCCTCCACTCTAAGCAGAGCATAAAAGAGTATGAAGTGAAAAACTGCACCATCTTTACACAGGCACCAGAATATTTACACTCAGCTTCTCATTTCTTCATGAGAACTCTGTAGAAAAGCCAACCTGCACTACAAGAATTTACAGATCACACCCTGACCCTGGCACATGCATTCAAAAAGTCTCCCTACAACAGCCCAGAGAAAAGATATTTGCCAAAAAGAGTATTTCATTTAGATAAACTATGATTTGCTAGCAACACATTACAAATGAGGATTTAAACACCCCAACTCCCCACACAAAGACTGTCTACACAAGAACACTCATTGCCTTATTTTTAGAATAACATTATTAAAATAAGTCACTGTGGCAGTGAAAGTCATCTGTGACTTCTGCCATGTGGTGACACTTAATGACAACACCTGTTATTTGCAGCACACCCATCAGCATAATTTCTCCCTGCTCATTCCTCAATGGTTGTGTGCATTTCTCTGCCAGGAACCTCTCCAGCCACACAGAGCACCCAAAGGCCCAGAATTTTACCAAGAATTGAACAGCAATGTGAAAGAAGCTATTGAATCAATCCCAACTTCGGTGATCATGTCAGATCAGTGCCTTTATTTGTCGTGCACAGTTTCTTTCACTTATTGTCAAATCTGAGTCCCAGCCTAGCAACGCCAGCCCACCTACTTCTCACTCCTTCACAACCCCCTCTGGGAATAAAACAGACCGTGGTTTGTTGTCCCCTCATCAATAAGGCTCCAAGACAGCTAAGGAAGGAAAGCTCTCTGTACAGGACCACAAGTAACAGCGGTGTCACTAATTTAATAAAAATTAGACACTAGGGAAACTCCAGAACATAAAGCGTTGTAATAAATGACAAAAAACGTGCTCTGGAGATACGAAACCACCGAAGTAAGATGATCACTGAACACGGCATTCATTAAATCGCTTCCGTTACACATTTCCACGTGTGGATTTGACTCGCACGTCCCAGGAGCCGCGCGGGAGGCGCAGCCAGCCCTGGCGCGCCCCTCGCCTCAGGGAGAGCCTAGCGCCCGTTGGGCACCCCCGCGAAGGGAGCGCGGACCGAGCCCCGGCCCCGCCAAAGCAACGGCTCCAGGGAGCGCTGCCCAGCCCTGATCCCGCACGGCAGAACTGAAGAACCACAAAATGCCGGCAGTCTCTCCCCACTGCGCTCCTTGAGCCGGGGCTCCCTGAGGGACCCTGAGGGACCCTGAGGCTCCCCCAGCCCGGGGGGCGGGGCCTCACCGCGCGCGCGAGGCGGGGGCGGGGCCAGCCCGGCGCGCGCCCCGCCGCAGTTAAAACCTCCCGGCCCCGCGCTGCGCCCCCTCCCCGCCGGCCCCTCTCGGCTCCCGGTCCCGCGGAGCGGGGTCCGCCCGCAGCGAGAGCCGGGGGCTCCCGCACGCTGCCCCCGCGTTCCCTCCGCCCCAGCGGCCCCGGCCCCGCACCTCGCGCTCAGCCCGCCCGCCGCCATCTTCGCTCCGATGTCACGTGACCCAGGGGCCGGCTCCCTCCACCACGCCGGTGTCACGTGGTGCCGCACAGGCCACGCCCCTGACACGCCCTCACAGCTGGGTCATGTGACAGGCGGCGCGGCAAGATGGCGGCGCCCTGCGAGGTGGGTGCGCGTTGGGCTCCGGGGCGGGGCCGCAGCTTCGCGCTGGAACCGGGAATCACCCGGGAGCGCCTCCGGCACCGCCCGCGGCGGATGGCGCTCCCAGTAGCGGAGGCTGGGCTGTGGGTGTCGCGGCTGAGGGGGACAGGAGGCGGCGGCGAGCAGCGTAGAAGGACAAGGCGCGGGCAGCCCGCGGGTTGAGGGGCGCCCACAGCGCTGCGGGAGCTTGGGCTGGAGAGGGAGCAGGCAGGGCTGCAGCGAGGGGAGGGCTACCGGATGTTCGGCAGCACGTCAGTGGGAAGCTTCTCTGCCCTGAGCAGCCGGGATGCGGAGCCCGAGCCGGGCAGCAAACGCTCGGTGCGGGTCCCGTTCGCTGCTGAGAGCGGCGGGGCCGAGGAGCCCCACGTTACCCAAAAGGAGGTGCGGAGGAGGGAATTGCGGCAGGCACAAGAAAACGAAGTAACTCAGCAGTGAAATACATCGCGTTGCAGATTGTCAGGTGTAAACACTCAGAGCTGCTGCAGCACCGCCTCAGGCAGGGTGAAATTCTGCCAGCCTGGCAGGGACGTGTCCGTGCCATTGATACCGGAGCTGCGGGGCAATCATAAGGTGGCCAGACTGAGTAGGAGGACTCGGTCCTTGCTTGGCAGGCGGCATTTACTCTGCTTCTTCTCAAATAAGCCTTAGGCTTCCCCCTCCCCAGTTCTCAGAAACAGCAGGGAGTTGGAGGTAGATATTGCCCAGACCAGTTCTGTTTTATTGACTGTATGATTAATTCTTCTCCTGTTTAAAAATGAATTGCAATGACAAAAGATTACATTTGGCCTGAAGGAGCTGTGTAGCAACAGTGCATGTAATGAAGCTGTTTGGCAATCAAGTATTTCAGGCTCTATGAATAAGGATGCCAAAAAGCAATCTATCAATAATTAAGTTTTCAGTACAAAGTCATAAATATCTAAACACTGCAGACACACAGTCTAAGGATGTTTGACAGTACAAACTGTGATAGTTCCTCAGTAATATTGCTGTAACTTTGTCAGTGAGCTGTGAGCCTTCACTCAGAGAAGATGAAGTGCATGATTCACTCACCTCATTTTTGTTTTTTTTATCATCTATGTTTTGACATTAGCAATTGGCACACAACTATCAGTTTAAATTGACTTTAAGAACCAAACAGCTGTGTGTGGTGGTGTTTGCAGGGGTCCCAGGATGAGGGCAGAGACAAGAATCTTGACTCCCTGTTTCAGAAGGCTGATTTATTATTTTATGATATATATTATATACTAAAACTCTGCTGAAAGAATAGAAGGAAGGATTTCATCAGAAAGCTAGCAAGGAATAGAAAGGAATGGAATGATAATAAAATCTTGTGACTGACCAGAGAGTCCAAGACAGCTGGACTGTGATTAAAAACAACCACATGAGACCAATCAAAGATGTGCCTGTTGTATTCCACAGTGACAGATAATTATTATATAATAATATATTATAATATCATAAAATAATTATAATAGATATTATTATATATAATTATATCATTATATATAGATTATATTAAAATTATATAAATGTAATTGTAATATTATATATGATATAATATATAGCATCTAATATGTTATAGAATATCTATGATTAAATATAATTATATAATTATGATATAAATTGTATAAAATATATAAATATAATTATGACATTATAATGTCATATAATATATATTATATTATATTATAGTATAGTATAGTATCTTATAGTATATTATAGTATATTATATATTTATTATATTTATTAATATATTTATATAATATATTTATTTCTATAATACTATAATTGTAATAATGTTATAACTTTTTTATATTATATTATATTATGGTATATTATAGTATAGTATAGTATATTATATATTTATTTTATTAATATATTTATATAATATATTTATATATTTATATAATAATATAATTATAATATATAATAATTATATATTATATTATATAATAATATATTATATAATTTCGTTTCTGAGGCCTCTCAGCTTCTCAGGACAAAAAGGATCCTAGCAAAAGGATTTTTCATAAAATATGTCTGTGACAGCTGTGCAAACACTTCAGCTGTCCAAGTAGTTGCTTTAATTACTTATTTGTTGTTTTTTTTCATAGCAATTGCAGTAGCACAGAAGGGGATTCTTCCTAAGGAATTCTTCCTAATGGACAGCTGAGCACACCGGGCCTGCTGAGATTCTGCAAGCTTGAGGCAGGCTGGGCTGGCACCATGCAGGACAAGGCAGTTTTGGTGGAGTCCCTGCTGGTGTTCGGGGTGGTGCTGTCGGTGCACGCCGTGGTCTGGGACCGCTTCTCGTGGTGCGCCCTGGCCCTGGCCCTGCAGGCCTTCTATGCCCAGTTCAAGTGGGACCGGCTGCTGCAGCAGGGAGGAGCCGTGTTCCAGTTCCGAGGGGCGGCCAACAGCGGCCTCCTGCCCGCCAGCATGGTCATCCCCCTGCTGGGGGTGGTGATGAAGGAGAGGTGCAGGGCCGCCGGCATCGTGTACTTCGAGCGCTTCGGCGTCGTGGTGGCCTCCACGGGAATGCTGCTGGCGCTCTTCCTGTCCGTCCTGGCGGTGGGCATCACCAAACCCGTGCCAACCAACACCTGCATCCTGACTGGTGTTGCTGGCAGCGTCATTATCTACACCATGAAACATTCCTTGACTGTCTCAGAGGTGATAGAGGTTCTGGAAGTGCTGCTCATTTTTGTCTACCTCAGTATGATCTTGCTGTATTTGTTGCCTCGGTGTTTCACTCCTGGGGAAGCGCTGCTGGTTCTTGGAGGTGTGAGTTTTGTTCTCAATCAGCTCATTAAACGCTCACTGAATGTAGTTGAGGGCAGAGGGGATCCCATTGACTTCTTCCTCCTGGTAGCAGTTGTTGGAGTTGTTCTTCTGGGTCTTTTTTTCACTGTGCTCTTCACTTTCATGGATTCGGGCACGTGGATCTCCTCCATGTTTTTCCACATGATGACAGCAGTGTTAGGCTTGGGGGTCATCATGCCTTGGCTGTACCGACTGATCCAGAGGAACCCTTTGTTCTGGCTGCTCCAGTTTCTGTTTCAGACACAGACAAGACTTTACCTCCTTGTGTATTGGACTTGCTTGGCTGCCTCAGCGTGTGGGGTGGTTTTCTACCAGAACGCCAAGAGATCATCTGAATCTAAAAAACACCAGGCCTCAACCATAACCAGGAAATATTTCCACTTCATTGTTGTAGCCACTTATGTTCCTGGCCTCATTTATGACCGCCAGCTCCTCTACGTTGCTGCAGTGCTGTGTCTGGCAGTGTTTGTCTTCTTAGAGTACGTGCGGTACTTCAGGATCAAACCTTTTGGACAAACCCTGAGGCATTTGCTCTCTCTCTTCTTGGATGAAAGAGACAGTGGACCTCTAATCTTGACTCATATTTATCTCCTCCTTGGCATGTCCCTCCCAGTGTGGTTGTTTCCCAGATCTTGTGCTCCTAAAGGCACTTTGCCTGGGGCAGGAGCGCTGGTCCCCTACTCTGGGGTGTTGGCAGTGGGGGTAGGAGACACCATTGCCTCTGTTTTTGGCAGTACAATGGGGGAAATCAAATGGCCAGGAACAAAGAAGACCTTTGAAGGGACAATGACAGCTATTTTTGCCCAGATCATTGCTGTGGCTCTCATTCTGATCTTTGACAGCAGCGTGAATCTGAACTCCAGCTATGCCTGGATTCTGGCATCTGTGAGTTTGGTTTCTCTTTTGGAAGCTTACACTACTCAGATTGATAATCTGCTGTTGCCTCTCTACCTCCAGATCATGCTCATGGCATAGAAGCACTTCCAGGCAGAGTTTTCTCCCTTCCTAGAGAAAGGTACTAGAAATGCACTTTAATGGAAGCTCAAAGATGATGTTTTGGTACAGCAGAGAAAATTGCTGACAACAGAAATGAAAAAGACTTATTTAAAATAAAGGTTTTGATTTAGTCTCGTTTTTACCCATGGAAAATAGACAGATTTATGTCCTAACAGCAACAAATATGATCGATAAAAACAGCACTTGTGTTTAATAATCTAGTTTAAGTTTCTTCTGGGTACCCAAGGGAAGCAGAGGAAGAAGAGGTAAGTCAATTAGAGGACAAAATAAACAAGCAGGTCTCTCTGATGTTGCTACCTCTGTACTGTACCTTGTTTTCTGTACTGAGTCCTGAGTCTTGTGTTCGATGTGTGAACTCTCATTTCTGTATAAGCATGATGTAAAGCATGTTTGATAACAAGGGGGGCACAGGAACCAGGCACAAGTGTCCAGTCCTAATCAGCAAGAGCCAAAATCACACCATGATGCACAAACACAACTCCAAAAGCAGCACCTGCTACAGCTGAGTTATCCAGGGTGAAGGTTTGGGGATGTCAGACACTGCTCATTCCAGACCACACTAATAAGAACAGTGAATCTTTAGCCCTGAAGTTTCCTTCAGCAAGAAAAATGTTTTATCTTTCTCAAGATTTAATCTCCAAACTAATTAGGAATGAATATGGGGGGAGGGGGGAAATTAAGCAAAGTCACAGCTAAAACTAATTACACCTTAATCCTGAAAGCAGAAAATCTGTTGAAGTCAATAAAATTTTCTACTATTACACTTTCCTACTTTCCTATTTTTTCTGCCAGATGTTTAATCAAATAATGTATAAAATACTTCTGTCAACAAATTGACTAAAGCTACTGAATTCCATCCATTTAATTAGAATTATGGCTACTATTTTGTGGCCAAAAAACACCCCACTTAATTTCTATGTATGAAACCCTTCTGTATCAACATTCTCTTCTCACTGGTTTGCCCTGTGTCCACTAGAACAAAACCCAAGTGTCCTTCTTGTCTCCAGGGATGTGTCCAAGCAGGAGTTTGTCATTCCAGGCTTCTAGTTTGCATCATGAAGTTCACTTCTGACCCTTTTTTAATTCACTTTTGGGAACAGTCTGGGGGAAGTCCAAGGTACCTTTCACAACACTGCCTGTAGCTCTGGGACGTTGGGAAGGAGCCTAAGACCAGGAGAGGAGTGAAACCAGTCCCTGAGTCAGCAGAATTGGCTCCAGAATCCAACATTCTCTGTCCCTGCAACAAGCCAGGACTGGAATAGCTGAGAAGCAGCATTGCCCAATTCATCCTCCTGCCTGGGAAGGGCTCCTGGGATTTGGTGCTGCTTTTCCTGAGGGTGCCAGAGCTGGTTACTAACACAGTAAGTTGTCAGATACTCTGTAGGAAACCCAACTCAGTAACTGCTGGGGCTGTTTCCTTTACATTTAACAGGAAATCCTGCCAATCAATCCAGATTTTTTTTATTTTATTTATGCACTTGAAGTAGATGGTTTTGCACACTGCAAGTCAGGACAAATTATCCCTCCTCAGCAGAATTCTGAATTATTAACTCCTCTCATGGAAAGACACAGACAAAACTTGAGTTGCTTCTGTCACGAGCCACAGCCTTCACCACTGATGTCATAAATTGCACCAGAGGTAGAGAAATTTACTTTCCTTCCACCCTGCTTCCAACTTTCAAACAAACTGTAGGAAAGGTAGTTCTGAATGCAGAAACTTTGCATTCAGTGTTCCTGCTGTTGCCATGACCCAGCTCCCCAATTTCTTTTTGAAAGGGATGAGTCAGTAAGATTTGGGTTCACTCTACCACCTCAGCAGCCTTAGGGTTTCTCTGATATAATTCCTGCACTGGTGACACTGGGCTCCTGGCTCAAGGTTACCACTGCACCAGTGCTGGTGAAATCACACCTACACAGCTTCTGCTCAGCTCAGGTACAGACTGGGATGTAGCTTGCATTTCCAAACATTCCTTGCTATAAGTTGGTTTGGCTTTGGTGAGGTTTTGGGGATAGAAGTTATTCTTGTGCATACTGAGAATTCCAGCTGCTCACCAGACAATTTAGCACTGTTCCCATCTGTTGGAAGAAGGAGACACTGGGTCTTCCTCAAAGAAAAGATGATGGAGATGAAAAGAGGAATTTCTATCTTTTTATTTAAGTGTAATGAGTTTGATTGAGGTTCTTTGTTTCCATCATTTCAACATGAATCTTTAAAAATTGTTGTATTTTTAATCACACTCAGAGATAAAACATTCAGCTATTGTCTGCCAGGAGTATTTAGAAGACTGACTATAAAAAGCAGACCTCTTGCTTCATTTCACCCACAACAAAATTGTTTTAAATCAATGTTATTCCAACAATAAGACATAACTAGGGCTGAAAATCAAACTTCTCCCCACAACATGTTCACCTGCATTGCTGGAGTCAACCAGCCAAGAAATGCACTTAAGCTCTTAAACACAAGAAAATACTGAGTATCTGCAAGGGGAAATACTTGTAAGTGGCCCCAGTCAAGGTGCAATGGTCTTAACTGGTTTGTTCTCAAGACTGAAAGTGTTTTCTTACCAAAAGAACTGGGTGACCACTCTCACACTGGCAGGGCTCCTGCTGCAGTAGAAGCTTTTGTCTGTGCAGTTTTGGGCTGTGACAATGGTCCTGGTTTAGAGGAGGAGGATAAATTTACATTGAGAGCTGATCTAGTGAAGGTTGCTTTTAAAGAGACCATGAATGAACAATCAGGAATATTGATCAGCTATTCACTCCACAAGCCAGTCACTAACTTCAAGTGTAGAGTGATGGAAAAGGCAGTTCAGGAGTTGGCTGGAGCCTAGGGAGTAAAGAAGAGGAAAAAGCAAAACTTCAGAGGCTATTCCAGTTCTGCAGGTACGAAATCAACACCAGCTGAGGCACAAACTGTACAGACAAGACCCCCAACAGTTACCCAACTATTGCACTGGAAAGGCTTCAGTTTCCTCAGCCACTGGTGAGGATCACAGCCTTACCAGTTCTCCTTGCTCCAGGTGGTGCCCTTGGCTTCCATCACGTGGAAGGTGAACACGTGGCGAGAGGACTCGGAGCTGTTGAGTTCACTCTTATGGACAACCTCCCCATGGATGAGGATGAGCCCACCTGTGGGGAACAATCACCTGGACTGCTGTTTTCCAAAAAATGAACTCTGGCTTTCCAGTGGGAGGGAATATGATTAAAATACGATTTTAGCTCCCCTGTGTTTTGTTGAGCTGTGAATTTGGGGCTGTTTGTACCTTTTCTTATGGGCAGAGGTATGAACTGTTTGTCATCATAGGCTGGCTCTGAGCCTACAAACTCCACACATGTTGAGGCACCTGAAGCTGCACGGACCATCCTCCTGCTAATCCCATCTGCAAATCCACAGAAAAGGCAAACACACACACACACACACAAAAATGAAACACCTGGCTACATTCTGCACAGCAAAGGAACGATATCAGTGATTTCTCTTGGCAATGATAGGAACTTTATTATTGCTGTATTCACACTTTCCTTAGTAATTTGGGTAGGGTCTTTTTCATTAATTAGAGATTCAGGATTTTCCTTTTTAGGATTTAGGATTTTTTTTTGTGGCAGAAACAGAGAAAACAACTGCCTTTTGTTTGCCTTTTTGGCCCCTTCTGTGCATTGCAACAGACCCTTAGGACCACAAATAGTCACACACTTATGCAAAACCAACCTTTGGTCCATTTGTGCTTTCTATAGGATCATAAACCATGATTTGAGTACAGCTGACTCCAGGATTTGAGGAATGAGTAGCTTAAAATCTGAAGAGCATTATGATTACACTCACTGCGTGAATGTTTAGGTGAGCAGAAGTTCAAAGCTGCCCTGTGTGCTCTAAAAGAGGGGAAAAGCAGAACTGTGCTGGTGACCAGCAGTGGTCAGGCACATGCTCTTACTGGTGTGAGAGCCAGGGATGAACCACAAGCAGCCATTCTCCTGTGTGGCATCTTCCAGGGCAATCCAGAACCCCAGGATCCTGCCCAGGGGCTCAGTGTGCAGGAATGTGGCATCCTGGTGTGGTGTCACTGCAAGAAGAGACTCTCATTGGAATCTTTAATGGGATTCAGTTCCTCTAGAAGGACTTCAGGGTTGCATCTCCTGACTCAGAGCGCTCCCCTGCCCACCCACCTATCATACACATTACATCTTACATTAAAATCCCACCTTTTAGCCTGCTGCAAATGTAAAAACAGCTCTTTGTTCAAGCTGCATATGATGTAGAAACTTTTCAGAAAAAATGTGGATTTCAAAGATTATTTTAAGAAGGTTTGGACTGCCAAACCCACAGGTTTAAGTCTGATTCTGAGCCTTTTCCCTGATAATATTCCTTTCCTAAAGGAGCATTATCTGCAGTGTGATATAGAGATAACACAAATCTCACCTTCACCACCAATGCCAGGTTGCTGCAAAGAAAAAAAAAAAGTGATGTGTGAAGAATTTCACAGCTTCCCACTTAACAGAGTCTTATTTCCTGAGTGACAAGACAACTTGAATTACTGTACCTTGAAGATATACATGCTCTGCACAACTACTGGTCTCTCAAGGCCTAGTTTTCTTCCCAGTTCCTGCAAGAAAATTTTCCAAGATTTATGTTCTCTGCACACTATTTAGCATTATTCTTTGAAGATATTTAAACTTCCTTTCACTGACAAAATTACTCACCCTGGGAGTGTAGAAAACAAAAATTACTACTCTGCAATTTATTTTTTTTTCCCCAAGGCCATTCTAGGAAGCAATAACAGCTCACCTGCACCTTGGGGGAGTGGGTGATTTGCTTGAAGACAGGATCATAAGCATGTAGAGCTAAGGGGAAAGAAAAAGCTCAGACAAGATTTCAGAAAGAGAAGGGAACAGCTCTCAGTGAGGAGCTGCAGACACCACAGCCCAGGAGGATAAATTGCAGCCAGCAACTTTGATCCCTCCCAAGATGGATAAATGTGATTTATCACACCTAAGGTGATAGGACACTTACAGGTTGTACAATCATCATTAAAGACCATAAATATAATCATTCCCTGGCCACAAACTGCACACACATAAAAGCCAGTGTACAACAGAGTGAACAAAAAGGAATATTATGTGATTCAATATAATGTTACACAAGTGACAACCATTACACATGACCCTGAGGCATATGGGTGAATTCTTCAGTTAAAAACACACCTCTTAAGACCTACCAGAAAAGTGAAGTACTGCAAAAAGGAACAAGAGCTCATCTTTGGTGCCCTTCAGAGAGCCCCAGCCAGCAGGGCAGAGTGTTTGTGCAGACTCTTGTACAACCCAGCTCTGACAAATCCACAAAGCCAAGACTCAGAGCTGTGCCTCCAGCTCATCCTGATCAGATTTGCCATGAGGACACATGCTCAGGTCCAGCAGGAGCTGCTCTCAGG